GGCAATTTGTATGTGGAATCCTTTTAGAAGAAAACAATTTTATGCTAGAAGAATAACAAGGTTATGTAATGGAGTCTTTCTTTATTATATCCACAAGGGAGAAAACATTGAAACGCAAAATACGAATTGCATATAAAGAAAACAGATTTTACATTTATTATACGATGCACGCTAATTTTAACCTGATTTGAACAGAGCAAACATTTTTTTAAATGGTTCTGTTTAGGTGCATTGTGTATTTTACCTGGGTTACGCTTGTGTAGTTTATTATTTAACTTTAGAAAATATACCTTTATGGTGCAAAATGTTATTCTGAACTAGCATCTACCCAAGTTCTAGTGCGCGCGTGTACCACTGCATTTTATTGTTTGTTCAGCAAAACAATCAAAGAAAACCATTAATAATTGACTCAATTAAGCGGTGCAATAAGTGAAAGCATATGTGGGTGCCCGTCAAGATTTATAAAGAGAAGAGTGCAGCTGATGTTTGTACACTGAGCACAGTGAAGAGTAAGCAATTTGGTCATCTGTTAATCTGTTAATGACACATTTTAAATATCGCTTTGGTCTGTCGCATGGCAAACCAGTGAATGCATACAGGTAAACTGTACAGCATTAGCATTGAGCAAGAAAGTTGCACTTAAAGCAAGGCCTTTAGGTAACTCCTGTTGTGTCACTTATTGCTTCACAAATTACAGGTAAATTATTTAAAACACACAAACCATGAATGCATCTGCCTGAAACAGCTTCCAGTCTCCAGCGATGAGAAGTATGCAAACTCCCAATATATTTAGTAACAAAAGCATCAAAGTATTTAAGAGGAAACTTGATGCGTAAATGAGGGAGAAGGGAATAGAGGGGTATTGGAGAGGGGTTAGGAGAAGCGGAGGCTCATGTACAATACAAACACTTGCATGGACTGTTTAGGCTGAATGGCCTATTTCCATGCTATAATTTTCTATGTATTCTATTTGAATGAAATGAGTTAATCGAGAGAGAAAATACAATTTCTTGGGTAACTATCCTTTTTGGTGAATTCAGGATGAATTATCTCGATGCTGCAGAATATAAAATTTAACTTCTTTCTGTACAATATCTGTACAAAGTATTTCCAGATCAAATACAAGCTGAAGTTACCCCTAATCTGCCCAAATAAATGTGGCCAGCTTTGGAAGGGTGGCTCTTACTCTACATTTAGAAATTTCCTATTTTTTTTACACCAAATAATTTTCTATAATTATTCTTGCATTTGATATAGCACCTTCTCATGACGTGCCAAAGCGCTTCATAGAATATATTCATTAATTAAAATAATAAATTTATTAAAATAAATTAAATATTCAGAGAATATTTCTAGCTTTAAACTTTCAATTTAGTGACAAATTACAAACAATTTTGCACTGCTAGCCATTACTACTAGAAACTGGAATGAAACATATTTATTTTACTCTAGCTTTATGATTGACTGAAAGGTTTTTACCTCAGTCAGACTGGATTTGAACCATAAGTAAATAAAAAAAGGCAATACTACCTTGAGCTATCACCCCTACAAAAATAATCCACCCAGATAACCATTAATTACTCAACTGGTTATATCTGTGGACAATTTTTGACCTCCGAATCCTCAAAACTGTAACCTAAAACTGAGATGCACAAAGTACGTTTATAATATACATTTAATAAGATTTTGTACATTTAACACTTGCATAATATAAAATGACAGTAAAATGACCGATCTAAGATGCTGAGAACAAATATTTTAAATTAGATATTCCAATTTGTTGCAACACATTTGTTACAAGTTTTGTTGCAACACATTTGACTAACTGCCTTTCAAACAACCAGTGAAAAGTATTTACAAAAACTTGAAGATTGATTAACGCAACACCCCCATCTCCCCCAAAACAAAAAGATTGATAAGGGAAGGGAAAGAAACTCTTATCCAGAAATGGAGCCGAACAAGTTCCTGATTAACCTAAAATAGCATGATTGAAAAACCCTAACTACCTTAAATGTCAGTGTACCAGTGTGTAAAAAAAAAGTCAAAGAAACACATTCACACAGATTAAATGGCTTGTTGTAGCGTAACAATGGTTTTCCCACCCTCAAATAACATTCTTGAATCATTTTCTGCAGCTTTTTTTTTAAATCATCAACTTAATGTATTTAAGATCAAGGCCCAGAAATGAAATTTTATTACAAAGTCTAAAATTTGCTTTCCTTTAAAAAACACTTCTAAAGATACTTCGCTCTCTCATATAACGAATGTATGTCTATTGACTACCTTTTTAAAATGAGCGTTTACACAACTAGGTAAAAGGGCCCTATTACAAACCTGTGCTTGTATTTGATGCACTGGACAGTCATCCACAGATTTAAATATAGTTTTCAGCAGATTGTAACAGAAAAAAAGTTTCCTTCGCAAACTGTATATTTAAGTGTTTGAGTATGGACAACAGGTGAGAACAGACTCAGATTTGTTCACGCCCTCTACAAAGCTTGCCGACACTCAATTCTAGACTGACACATGAAGAATGGACATTTGGAAAAGATATTTGGATGGCACTCAACATGGACTGAACCAAACTCTAACCAGTGTCTGCACCTTGAGAACAGGCAGGAACATAATTAAGCAATCTTAGATCAGGAATGGAGCATGGTGGAGGAAACAATTAAGACCATTTTGTGGTGTTGCACCTATTAGCACAAATATTTAAAGAAGCTGCTCAAGAGAAAGCTAAGTGATAGAAGGAACAGATGGGAGAAAGCAGTGGGATTAAACAAGAGGAAAGAGGGAAACATCACCCACACTCCAGGAGATTGAAAAGATATACAGAAATCTAATTCATATAACAAAATAAAGGCTCTGAAATCAGCAGAAATAGTATATAAATTGTAAAATGCCAGACAAGTAAATGAAGCATAAATACAAAGAACAGGCAATGTTTGGAAACAAAAGGAAACTTTAATGTTTCTACATAAAATTGTAAGTTTTTTGGGGGGTGAGTGGGGTTGTGTTAATAGGAAAATTTCACATTTGTAAAGAGCATGCATGAGTAGACAGAAATCATGTTTGTTGCTATTACAACGATAACTGTTTTGCACTAAGGTTTGTGGATAACAGATTTCACCATTAAATCTGCTAATGGCAGCAGAATTAAGTCCTAGCCCAGTTATTCCAACTAATGAAGAATGTACATAGCATACTGATCGTTCAAGCGAACATGTGTAGCATCAAGAAAATGGAAATACATCTGTGCTTTGAAGATATTTCATTATGCCTGGAAATTATCCTGACATATTTGAAGGATCAATGACAATTTACATCTTTCACCTTTCACATCAGGAAGAAGTCTCAAAGTGTTTCACACAGCTGCCTGGGAGCCCAAGCTTTTTTTTTTGAGGGGTGGGGGAAAGAGAGAAGTGGAGGTGGGGAAGGAAAAGTGACCACGGGCAGGGTCAAAAAGGATAAACCTAAGAAAAAAGTGGACTCTTAAAGGCAAAGAGGGAGGGGACGAGGCAGAGGGACTTCAGGATAGAATTCCAAAGAGTGGGGCAGAATGTCTAAATTTTCTCCCATTTATGGGGGAGAGAATGGACTGGGGACATGAAGCAGGCTGTAGTTAGGCAGAGGGAGAGTCCAGAACAGTAGAGCTGCAGGTAAGGGTGGGGCGAGCCTGTGAACAGATTTGAACAAGACGACGAGGATCTTGAATTTGATCTGCTGGGGGGGGGGAGAGACAAGCCAGCAGAGCGGAGAGATGATCAATTTTTAACTGTGACATTTAGCTCACCTACATGCTGGCACTTCTCATTTAAATAAACAGTGGCCCCAAAAATGCACCACCTCAAAGAAAACAAAATTGTTAATATTAAATCAAGGTTACAGCCTCGATTACCTAAAGGCATTAGAGGAAGCAGTATTTGGTGAACTTCAGTGTGAGTGCATGAATTGGGCGTGAAGGTGCAGTGCAATCTTTTTTGAGGCAACTATCTGCATTAAATAATCTGTATCTCATTGTTTTTGTTCGTAGGAAACAAATTTAAAAAGCTGAAAGCTAGCATGCAAAAAGAGGGAAAAGGAAAGAGAAAATCCAGGAGTCAGTCTGCATGACAAACTAAAACACCCTTAGAAACAAAATTGAAGATTAAGAAATCATCACTGAAGAATGCCAACTAATGTATTTCTTGTAGGACTGGACTCAAGACGCTCAGCAGATTTCAACAATGTCAATATTCATGGAAAATAAAACTACAGAAATGGAAAACTACTAATATTAATTAATCAGTGCAGTATAAAGGGACCTCATGTAATCAGTTTATTAAAAATATACTAACACGCTAATAGGTTACTTAATTCATTCATAACCACTAGAATAAAACACACTCATATCATTTAATGTATGATAAGAACTTTTGGACTATGTGTCATGATATCCATAACAATTATTTTTAGGGTTCTTTTAAATATATATATATATTTTATAGGAAGAAGGCTAAAACAGACTTGCAGTTGATTAGAACATTGCAAAATCCTAGGAAGCAAATAAAGATTAAACAATATTAATGTCAAGTCTCTTTGGCAAATAAAATGCCTCAGCTGGAAAACGCTATTAAATACAAGATACTGTGAGTGAACAGAATAAATGAACTCTAAAGAAATGACACGGGAGGCAATAAAGAGACACATGACAACTGAATAAAAGGCCAAAGCACATAAGATACCATTAAAGACTGTTTTAATGTTGTTGCAACTCCCAACATGCAACAATCATTGGTGTGCAATAGGCCCACACATTTAAGATTTTCTTTTTAAAAAATCCCTATAGAAAGTACAGTTTGCATCTGCAAATATTATGTCACCACCACCATCAACTCAAAAGTCTGAATATTCATTTTAGATTTGCAATATACTACTCACTTTGGTGTGAACTTCATGGAGCATGGCAGAGCTTACTGATAATTTAAAATTAACCTATAGAGTAGAAAAAAAATATTAACCTCGGCTTCAATGTATAGTTTCCAGAATCTGCCAGAGCTTGGGAACTGGGTGACAAGCCGCTCATAGGTCTTCCGCGCTTTGTCTATGGGTTGATTCTAAAGGTAAAAACCATCAAAAACAATTTTTACAGCATCATTTCAAAAATCTGCAAAGATAAACGTTTGCCATTTTACTCCCCCGTCATCTCAGTGAGAGGCAATTTCCCACAACTATGTTAAAATCAAAATGTGCAAGTTTTTGAATTGTATAAGGAAACATAACCCTATTTCACTAAACCTGTGCCTCTCGTATGAGAATGCTCCAAGCATCAAGGTCATATGGATTTTCTTCTAATTTCTTTTCCGCCTTCTTCACCTTCTCAGGAACATATTCTGGAGCCTGTAATTGAAAAAATGAGTATGAATAAATTTGCACCAATTTTTTTAACCATTCTTACCTTGCTTTAACAACAGAATTGGATTTATAATATTCTTTGCTCACAAATGTAAAAGTATACAAGGGTTTACTTGGTCCATAATCTGTTCCACATACAGGCATATTTCTAGCCGGAGCCCAACTGTAAAAGCTTGACTTAATTGAAGAACAGAAACAGATAAGATCACATAAAATGCTATTTTTCAACAAGTTATAAAATTCAAATATTTTACACCAAAATATATTATAATAATCCTTGCGTTTGATGTAGTGCATTATCACGTATTCGCTTCACAGAATATACTGTAAAGTGAATTAACTGCATATTTTGTGGACAAAACACGGCAGCCAATTGTGCTCAGCAGTGTCCCACAAACAGTTGAAATGGCCAATTTATTACTTTTATCTTTTTTGAAAGAAATATTACCCCTGGAAAAGTGATCCGCCAATCAACTAACAAGTGGGTTCCTCCTTACTACTAGAGGTGTGTGGAATAAGGAAACTTGCCCAACATTTCACCCTGGCGGGAATCAAAACCAGGTCTCTCGCTTGTGAGGCGAGTGCTCTAACCACTGAGTTACAGGTTCCCATTGTGGGACACAAATTAATTTTTGTGGCCAATAAGTCTGAATTATGCCTAACACTAATTTGACTTTCTTTTCAACCTTAAACCTTGTAAATCAATGTTCATCAGATAATATCAAACAGATTTAATCTTAAATCCAACACACAGGGAAGAGACAGGAACAAGGTGCCAAGCATGAAAACTTGGGCTTCTCTAGCCAAAGTCAAGCGATCAACTTTCACAACTATGCAAAATCGCAACCGTTGCCACAAATAGCAATCTTGATGTTGTTTAAACAAAGTAAAACAAAGCACCCTGGTACCACTGAAGATAGTGTACACTATGAACAGTGCATTTGTCATGCACCTGTAACACCATAGCACAATAGCTCCCTTGTTCGGGTACCAGCAGTCTGACAGCATCTGTGAAGCTGCCCTGAATGATCCAATTTGTCCAGAATTAAAGAAAATGGTTAGGGCACTATATAAACTAAAAGTCTCCAAAGAATGCCTTATTCAAGCTCAGAACTTAAAGCATGGCCCAAGAAGCAGATCCCTAGTTCTAAAAGGTCAAAAACAGATCTGTGCAAACATTTTTCAATAATTAAAAAAAATTAATATACGCACGATCATATTTCTTTCTGTTGATTCTTTATTTTGATTTTATACAACCAACCTCTGGTGGAGAGGCAGAACAGATAAGGTTACTTAAAATCAATCTGTACAGTTTTAAGAATAGAGCCACCTGAGGTAGTACTGCACTACCAAACCTACCTTTTCTAAATACAAAAAATATTATTTGGTGAACTGTCAAAAACACTTCAGATTATTTTGAATGTGCCCAAGAACGTGGCTGCTTTTAAACATTAACTAATTAGTATTGAGACAATTTGAAAATTTTGAAGCACTCCAGTATTCTATTACTTAAAATCAGTTGTCCAAAATTTAGAACACCGAATTACTCCCACTGTAAGGTTCACTGAATTTGCGTGGGCTTCTTTCTCCGTGTTCATACATGGATAATTCAATATTCCCAATGGAATCTCTCAATTCAAATTACTAGAGATCACAATATTTTTTAGATTATAAATAAGTTCAAACCTCCAAAATAAACCAAAGGATTCAGTTTATAGTTTATAGAACACCTCTAAATGATTATACATTTCTTAATAATCATTCTATGTTCCACGATAACCGAGTCCACAATTATAACCCAATAAATGCAGTTCATCTTTTCAGATTTGAATTATTCCCATCAGATAAACCAATTTATAAACAGTATTAGGTTATGTATTGAAGATGACCATCATTTTTTAGAAATTAAGTCTTGTTTATGTAACTTTTAGCAGAAATTAAATCCATACACAGAACAATATTTGTAACACAACTTTTCCCTCACCAGACAAAAGTATCTCCCATTAAAGACCAGTGAATTCAGCACAGATTGATGGAAAGCAAGGCATCTCCACCCACTCTAAACAATCACCAAATAATATAATAAATCTTGAAGTGAATTACCATTCTTTTGTCTGGGACACTGGGAGAGAATCCATTTTCTTTTTCAAATAATGGCACAGAATGATTAATATCCACCTCAATAAGCAGAGAGGACCTGAACTTAACATCTTGTCTAAAGACGGCATCTCCAACAATTCTGTATAGCATTGGAATTTTAGCCTACACTGTGATCTCAAAGTCTTGACATGGAGTTGGAACGCACAATGTTCAGACTCAGAGGTCAAGGTGCTACCAACTAAGCCAGGCTCAAACCTGTCAGCACTATGACAAATATTGTAGTTCTTACATATATAAAATACAGTATTATTTCAACCATGTGAGATAACCAGCCAAACATACAAGACCACCTAGACAAAATAAACAGCTATATATATATGCAAGAGCAGCTGCAACCAAAGCAACTTGTACCTAATTCAAATAAATATTTGTAGTATCTGCAATCAGAACACAAGTACCCTAGCTAGTTTCACAAGAACTGCTGTACAAACCAATCAGTAATAGAAACAACTATGACACAGAAGCTACATAAATAAAAAAACTGCATAGGGAATTACCAAATTGATCCAAGTCAAGGGGGACTGCTACCAACGGAACCAATCTTGCATACATTTATAAGTGATAAATACCTATATCAAATTAAGACTTTTTTCCAAAATGCTAAATGGTTCATAAAGGAAAAATATTACTTTTCTATTTGTCTATACATCCATTAATTTTCTGCTAATACAAGTAAAAACAGAAGAATAGTTAGGCCTTTGAAATCTAGCCTTAATATTCTTTGCATTTTCTACTAGCTATCAGCAAGGGAAATGGATGCAGAGAGCAAATGCTACACAAAGAGAAATCAAAGTCCTAATTAGGTAGCCTTATTATTTGTGATTCATTGCAAGGTTAAAACACTGTACACAGTATGCAGTGTACAAATATCGTATATTTTGTGAGATGAATTGCTATACAAGAGGAACCTCAATACAATATTGAAGTATATTTTTGAAGCATAATTTTCCTGCAGTCCATTGGTACATATTCAAAAAAGTCACAAACTTGCTCTGATCCAAGCTAGAATACTGTATTTTCATAACTAATTTTGTAGAAATAACTTCATAACCTGATAATTATTTTTAAGGTGAGAAAAAATGTTCAGGATGGGTAAGAATACCACTATTTAATTATCAACCAATAAAACTGCCTCACCAAATTACTGGGGACTGGATACATAAGCTTGCAATAAATCAGGGTCAGATGCTAGAAACTGAGGAATAAACCAGGAGAAATTCCAAGAAATGGAAGAGGGAGATGCAGAGGAACATTGCTATTACAAATGCAAGCTTTTGGCTAGCAAAATACTGCAAAAAAATGTTTACTGTAAGACCTAACAAGTTATGCCTTTAACAAATTGATTAAATGGACAAATTTGTAGACATAAAACTCAGATGGCCCACTGTCCTAAAGTTGAACCTTTCATTGTATTTCTTTCTTTGTGTGGGTTAAGCTGACAACAACAAAAGTCTTATCTTGTTAAATTAAAGGGCCTTTTCTGGATCACTATTTTTCTTAAAAAGCTGGGTCAACCCAAGTGAAAACAAAACTGTGTTGGGGAGAAGGTAGCACTGGGATTCACATGAAACCCATTGGTTTCATTGGCTAACAATGTATGTGACAGTAGGGATCCACGTGTTGCATGGAGCACACAATCAATCAGGCAAGAGCTTAACCAATAACTCCAGGGTCACACCAACAATGTTACTTTCAGCGTCACGTCAAAAGATCCCACCACTTTATTACACAGGCTCCCAATGTACCATGAAAGAAAGTTATCCCGGAGCAAGGGAGGGTTTGACTTATTTACAACTGACTAAATTGCAGACGGACATAAAACTCAAGATGGCCTTCTGTCCTAATGTTGAACCCTTCATTTAATTAATCTCTTCCTGCACGTGTGGGTTAAGCTGACACGACGTAAAACACATATATATTTATATATACACACACACACACCTCTCTCTCTCTCTGGAGTAATATGAATCGTCCTGCTTCTTCGGGACGATTCATATTATTCCAGAGAGAGAGAGAGAGTTTTTTTTAAATATATTGTAGATGTCCAGGACGCTTAAAGGAAAAGGGTTAATGTTGCAGTCCTTTCAGGACGTGCTCTGCCAACCCTGTCAACAGCTTTCCTCGGAATCCCTGTGCCACCTTCCAACCCCCAACCCCAGGTTTGTTTTCAGTTCATTAAAGGCCATCTGCAGTGTTGTAGCTTCCCCCCCCCTCCCACCGCCTCCCTTTCCTCTTCTTCGGTCGACAATATTAGTCCATTTAAAATCAAACGCCGGCCTTATCTCTCCATGTATGTCTCTGTGAGTGTGTTGTGTGTGTGTGTGTGTGTGTTGGGGGGTGAATTGATTAGAGGTGCTGCTCACGAACCGTTTTACGGTTGTTGTTTTTGAAAAAAAACGGTTTTTTTTGAAAAAAAGGCCGCCATCTTATCTCCCTCTCCCCCCCCCCCACACTTCTTCACCGTGGAAAGGGCTTCGTTATCCACACCACCACCTCCCACCCCCACCTCACCAACCATCAATTTACCTCCTCTCTCCCCCCCCCCACACCCACTCCCCGCCAACCATCGACATGTCTCAAAAAGGCCGTCGCGAATGAGTCTCGACCCCCTCCTCCTCCTCCTCCCACCCAAAAGCCTCAAAGGAATCCGACCTACCTGCTCCGAACTGCCGTCGCCGGACATTATTGCTTATAGAATCTTTTATCTCCCTCTCCCTCTCTCTCTCTATAGAAACAATTACAACGCACAGGCGAAAGGATTTATCTTTTTTTAATTATTATTATTTTTTTTAAAAAATGACTTGACTGGGCGCTTCCCTCCCTCCCTCGCCCCTTTCCTTTCTATTCCTATCTTCCTTCCCTTCCTTCCTTCCTTCCAACCTCCTTCCTCTCCTCTCCTTCCCTTCCCTCTGTCCTCCTCCTCCTCCCTCCCCTGGCTCTCGCTTCAACTCGGTGAAGACACCTCCATTGGAGACTCAGGCGCTGCTGCTACAAGATGGCGGCGACGGCGGCCGCGGGCTTCAGGACAAGGAGGGAGGGGCCGAGTGCGCGCGCAGCCTCCGGTCCTCTCACTCGGCCCCGCCCCCCGCCCCGCCCCCGCCCCCCACGTGGTGCAGGGACTGTAACTGGCCCCGCCCCCTCCCCCAAAAAATTAACTCTTACTTTACCTGATGGGAATGGGAGGTGTGTGTGTTGTATGGGGTTGGGGGTTGGGGGGGTGGTTGGGGTTTTTTTTGTGGGGGGGTTCGGGTGGTTGGGGGGGACAGGGTGCAGTATATTGGTAAATATACCTTAATCATGAATAAATAAAAATATTCTGGTCACTCCATCCCCAAACTGTTTGCGAGGACGCTCCTACCTTTCGCCGCCCACTCTCCCCCCCCTCCCCCCCACCCCACAAGGTGTGCCCAGTGTCACTTTACGCCCCTGTTCCGCAAAGCGCTTTGAGACGTCTCGATGATGTGATTAAAGAGGCACTACATAAAAAACCAAGGATTGCTTATTTTTATTATTATTATAATAATAATTCACTTTGCAAAGGTGTCTCAAAGCACTTTTTTTTAGGAATTACTGTAAAGCGTAGTGACTGTGTACTACGTAGGTGAGCAAGGCAGCCAATGTGGAGTTCTGTAGCTCAGTGGTTAGAGCACTCGCCTCGCAAGCGACACCTGAGTTCAGTTCCAGACAGGGCGAAACCTTGGCCAAGTTTCCTTACTCCACATGTCTAATAATAATCCCTCCAAAACAAAACAATAATAAATTGGTGGGACTGTTTGTGGGACGCTGCTGTGCGCAATTGGCTGCTGTGTTTCGCCCACAAATATACGGTCAATTCACTTTACAGTATATTCTGTGAAGCGCTTTGAGACGTCGAGAAGACGTGAAAAGTGCTATATCAAATGCAAGGATTATTATTATTATTAGAATTTGCTCACAGCAATGTCCCACAGACAGCTATGGAGGGAATGACCCATTTGTAGGCCAGAACATTGGGTGAAACAACCTCTTTTCGAACAGTGCCACAGGATCATTACGATCCACGTGAACAAACAGATAGCCCTCATGTTTAATCTGTTATCATCTGAAGGATGGCACGTCTGACAATGCAGCGCCTAGAGCCTAGACTATGCGAGTTCAAAGTCCTGACTCAGTGGCGAGAGTGTTACCAATTGAGCCAGACTGATATTAAAATTTCCAGTATAATTGATTGCCATTCATTAAAGCGATATTGGAAATATAACAGTAACAATTATGGCAAAACCTCTCTAAACTCTGGATTAGCTCATCAGCTGTTTTACTCAGGACAAGGGAACACACACAATTATGCTTTTCAAAAACAGACGAGATACTTTATTGTGTATATATTCTTTTTAAAAAATCCTCATGTACAATGCAGGCATCAACCTCGATGGTCAGAAGTATGTGTTTTGGGCTGTTAGAACTTAGTAAAGCCTCAAGCAGAACTAGACAGAACAATCTCCTCACGTATGGAGAGAGGTGGATGTGTTCAGGATAATGGGGGAGGGAGAAGGTGAAACAGAGAAGACATGTTTGAATGATGGAGATGAAGAACATTTCTCCAGTTCCATTTTCGAATACAGTATTTAAAATATAGATATTTTGCAGCTAAATTCTTTGCAATCAGACATTAAATGTACAATTGGTAATAATGCATGTCACGTCAGCTACAAAATAATTTGTGTCCAGGGCTATGTTTGTCAACAGCAACTTCCAAAAATGAAGCTGAGATTCTGAAATGTAGCAATGCTAATTGTACAGTCCAATAAAGGTGCAACATCCGCACAGGTTAACGGACGCATATCATGGTGTAGCGTTGAGAAAAGAGATGTCAGAAAGTCCAGTTTTGTACAGTATTAAACTGCAAGCAGAATTCATCGTGCTCTCTTACTTCCCTTTGACCGGAACCTTAAAAAGAATCAGACGTTGAATTAGTAAAGCATCAAGTCTTTTTTAAAAAAATTATTTCACAAATAAGGCTTGAATAATTATTAAGATTGGATTCTTGTGTGTTGAAGGGAGCCGGTCAAATTTACAATGTAACTTAACGGAATCATGGAACGAACTCCTTAATAAGGAACACAATGTGAAATTGTGCAATTATTTGTAAACGAATATAAATGATTGGGTGCAAATTGGCTGACACATCTGCCTATACATACCCACTTGACAACAATCCGCTATGAAAGCCTTTGGGATGTTTTGGCAGTGTGAGGTAAGCATTATTATTATTATTTAAACACCAAACTTGTGCAAATTGTTACTTACCATTGGCTCTACACGATCCTGCCATTACCCTCGGGGGACTGAAGACGTGGGATTTTTGCAATTATGCATCCGTCTTCGGTAAAACATTCCGGTTTCTCTCGTTTCCCCATCACAACGGGACTTTGAACGTGATACGATGAATTTAAAGCTAGAAATAAATAGTGAAAAGGGCAGGTGAGTACGTAAAGCAAATGTTTAATAAGGCCAACATATGTGTAATCTTGTTTTTGAGTATGAATTATTATTCCAAGATTAAACCCCTCCACTCATTCCAATGAGGCTGTGAGCAACCTATCAGACCTATTAGCCAGATTTATATAATACTGCAGATAAAAAGTAATATAGATGTGTGAACTGCTCTAAGGAACTCTTAGAGTCGGTTGTTAGGATGTGTTGGACATCAGCTCAGGGTAATTTGCTCTCATAGATGATTAGCAGTTGTCTAAGAGCAATTGACTGATTCGATAGTTTTGAAATCTAAAATCACGAGATTCTACACGACTGAATTATTCCGTGCAAAACTTTCACAACATATATTTGACTTGAATAGCATCCGTATTAAAATGTAAAAAATCTTTCCCACAAGTGCCTGGGCCGAATGGTCTCCTTCTGTGCTGCATAATTCTGTGATTCTGTGAAGTGTACCCCAAAAATGCATTCTTACCAGCAGTATTTGTACAGTCTACATGTGTTCTGACAGCCAATGATGCAGAATCATCAGTGCAGGAAGGGACTGAAGGCAGCAAGCCTGAAAGAACAAAGAAAAACACTGCATTAGAATCGCCTCCAAAGGACAGTAATTCCATTTTAAGACCAAAGTATCTTTGTCGGAACATATTCACATCCAAAGGTTAGATAAAACAACGCAATACATAATTTTTTAAATGTACAAGTCACCGGAGCATCCACTAAGAGGTGGGGCCGACACGGCTGGTTAGTAGGTGCTTGTTTTTCGAGAGCAGAGTTGTCTGTTTAGGCGCGGTTGTGAGAATGGCAATTCTAACTTACACAGTCCTTTGTAGTGAGACAGTTGTTGATAGATCTGCTTCATACGTTCAATGTTCAATCGACTTGCTTCTGCGTGATTGACGATCGGTTTGGGGTAATCAATGCCAATGATGCACTTTGCTGCCTTCTGAACTGCGAGAGGGGCGTTCCACGGCTCATAGATGTACTTTGTAGGATATTCCTTCAATAATGGCAGGTACCGTCTTGAAAGAGAAATGTGACAGAGATGGTCATTCATCACAAAGGAATCCATCCTCATGATTCTCGCACTGCAGCCTTTTCCTGTTCTTTAGGGACTTAAAGATCTGTCCTGTTCACAGATTGCCCTTCCATCAAACAACAAGTCAATATTACCTGATGTAATCACCACTTGGATCCGTTCGTTTCCCGAAGCCGACAGGACAGTAGCAGTGAAAGAATTGCTGAAAGAATGCACTGCAAGAGAGCCACATCCAACTCCCTGCATTTATACTGAAGTCAGCATCGAGGAGCAGTTCTTCAAACACCTACAAATACAAGCAGACGAGGGTAGAAGGTTTTGTCGTTTACCTTGGCACTTTACCCACAAGTGATGGAGACCTGGTTAAAGGTCAAACAGGGAGGGTACAGGTGAGAGCTGCAGCAAAAACACTGTCCTGAGGATATCGAGCAGCTGTTTCACAATTGCTTAGACAATTGCTAATGAACTCCCTCGTCATTCCGCACCTCCGAAAACAGCTGGGACTCCAGAGCGGATCAACAGAGCATACACACTAACCTACCAGTTTGTTCCTCTCCTCGACTCCATAGCCATATTAGGTGGGGTTTGGGGGCAAAAATTCAACCAGGGTCCCTCATCCTTATTAAGTGACCCCTGTGTATGTGTGTGTAACACACACACACACACACACAAATGGACATCATGAGGACAGATTGACTGCTGATATGGTCCAGACTGATATGTGAAAAACAGCGACACGTGAGATGTACGTGAGCTTGTGGAATCAGACCGGTAGAAACAAAACAACAAAAGGCGTCAAATGCCTGCAGGAGAGAAGAAAATTGGCCAGGGATTTTGTTTTGCCTCGGAGTGAACCAGAAAAACAGCAGTTCTAGTTCCCTTGTGAGATTGTTGGATGCAACAGCCAACTTTATACAGACTCAGAACTGGGTCAGTGGAGAGCTTACAGTTCACTGGTCACTTCCCCTTACTGTGGACCTTCAAATAAGACTGATATGTAATTGATGAGTTAAAAGAACAAGCTTTAGTATACGTTGTGTGAATGCGTACGTGTGTGTGTAAGACAAAAATAGAAAATGAATTTAACGGGTAAAATGTCTGGCGTTTCATAAGAATGAGTTACAAAAGGCGAGAAATTTTCACCCTAATTTTTTATTTGGCAAATAAAAACACGTGTCCATCGAGTGAGAAACTTGCCCTCACTTTAAGTTAAGCTGTTCCTTTGAGTTCTCTACCTCCGGATCAAACATTCCACTCTGCATAAGCACCACCTCATTTACAGTCATTCACACTATATCATCATCATCAACAACAACAACTTACGCTTGTATCAGGACCCCCTCCTCACCTTCATGCCTTCCTCCCAGCTAATCCACAAGTCCCCTCTGGTAAGGAAGCAGGACACCGCGTGCCTGGCTAAATGGTGAATCCAACCCTCTTTCCGGAGTTGTTTCATGATTGCATCGATCCAGGGGAATCCTGTCAGCCCGTCTGCCCATTTGGTGAGAGCATGTGGATTCTTGTCCCAAGGGATCTGGACACAAATAGGGTTGCCTTCCATCCTGTCAAACTTTGGGTTGTTTGTGGCTGTGGTGTAGAAGAATTCACGCCATAATAGCTGTCCATATAGAGAAAGGGGTGGAATGGCGCCCTTCTTTACCTAACGAAAACGAACAAGAATTATAGATCAGAGCAGAATCGTAGAATTACTGTGGTGCTTTCTAACCATCGGTGCTGAACTGAGTGGCACTGGCAAGTGAGATGCCAGGGAGGAGTCTTATCAGCTTTCAAAAGCTACGGCATTGCTAATAACCACTTCCCTTGCCTCCTTCAAGACCCTCCTCTTCAGCCGTGCCTTCAGTCACCCTCCTTCCCCGCCTGCCCTTTCCGGTCCCGACCCCCAGCTTGGGTCCGAAACACTGACTGTTCAGCGCCTTGGGACGTCCTCTTGATGTGATACGCACGTTATAAATGTAATTTTGTTGTTTTATTTGTAGGCGTATATGTGATAATGATAGTCGATTTCTCCTTACCGTTTTATATAGCTCCTGTAGCCTATAATAAAACAATCGACACGATAAGCACCCAAATCGCAGGTATGGACTTAAACCCGTTGGACTTGACACCAAAGAGTCTGCATTTAATTTCGGTCTCTCGTAGTTTGCAACCCAAGCCTTTTAAAAGAAAGAAAAAGTTTGATTAGAATGAAAATGAAAATTTTTCAATCTTTATCATAAAAATGACTGGAAGACTGAGTACACAAAGCATTAGTGAAGCGATAATATTATAGAAGCTATGGTGAATAAATATCTCCCGTTTCGTTCTAATGGGAAATTGTCCCATCTGAGACACGACACGTGTGTGCGATTGTAAGGTGCTTCGCATAACACTGACCAGAATATCAGCCCACGGTTGATAGGTATAACTTTTAATCCAATTAACGGGACCATTTATTACCTTCCGCTCCAGGTGTTTATTCAGCCGTGCTAGAGCTTCAATCTCACCTCCGTTCCACGTAGCAGGACCGAGCTCACTCGTATTAAACCCTGAAACAGTACAATAATTATTAGGGTTATTGCCACTTGCAAGAAAACCGAATATCCTGTGAAATGCTTTGAGACATCCTCCCAACGTGAAAGGCGCGATGTCAAATGCAAGGATTATTATTACTGCATTGCTTACCAAGCTCGTCCAGTGATGGGATTCCATATTTCTCACTGTGGTTGGCCTCGACATCTGTCGTGCAATTTTCCATTTGCTCCAGTGTCACTGAGCCAACTGGGCTCTTAGGCAACTCAAGGCGACTGATGATGGCTTGGAAACGTTTGTAAGTGAGTGGAGGTTTATTGCCATTTGCTTCAATTATTCTGCGAATTAACATACATTGTGTTTACAATATACATACAACGTGTCATACAGATCCTGTATTTAGGGCCTCAGTATTTTAAATTCCCCCCACCCCCACCCAAAAAAAAGTTGATCTTATCTTCATCTTATTTACAATTAAAAGTTCTGAGCTTGATTCTTCCCCTTCAAACTTCTCCCCCGAACTCTATTATGCAGTTCTTTGTAACAATTCGCTTTAGTATTAATGGGCAAACATGCTTGATGCTGCAACAGAAGGACAGTGAGGTGGGTAATCTGGAAGGATTTAAAAAAACGAAGAGCATTCTTCACCTTAAATCAGCGTCTTGGGACGTCCTCCCGATGCGAAAGGCGCTATATAAGTGTAATCTTGTTGTTGTTGTAAACCGCCCTCATGATCTTCAGTAAATGTTTTGTACTGGAGCTGTCTGATTAAATTACACAGAGTACACCTGGCTATTTATTACACAGAATGGTGGATTCCCCCACAGCTTATTGTGGAGCGAGAGTGGATTTGAAAGTGCAGCAAATCAGTAGATTTCAAACCGGGCCTCGACCTCAGTCTGTATAAGCCCATCACACACTGTGGGATGTCTAGACACAGCATTACAGATCGCACAGCTTTGCTGCAACCTGCAATGCTGAAGGGGAATTATTGAGCCATGAATTATTCAGCAGGGAGGAATAAGGGCATCCCAATCATCCTGGCTGTAAAGGAACAAAAACTCTGCAAAACACAAGGCACAGATTCTCTCCCAACCCCCTTCCCTCCCCTCCAAGTATACTTTACTAAAGCATTTCTGTGTGGTTAGGTCTCCCTGCAACTGCAGTGATATACAAAAATCGAGGTCTGCAATGGTCTTTTTAAACAATATCCCTGCTGGGCTTGGGTGGGTGGGGGGGGGGAGGGCTACAGTTCTTAAAACAAAGTCTTAGGCTGAAATGAATGGCATTTCATAACGTGTGCATTATGATAATTATTCACAGCGGACGCATTATGATTCACGGTTTCTATAACAATAACAATAAAATAAGAATCCTTGCAAGCGATATAGCGTCTTATCACGTCTTCGAGACGGCTCAAAGCGCTTCACAGAATATACTGTAAAGTGGAGTGACTGGATATAGGACGGGCGAAACGTGGCAGCCAATTGCGCACAGCGACGTCCCCACAAGCAGTCGCGGATTGAGTGACCACATTATTATTATTATTTTGTTTTCGAAGGGATTATTACCCCCGGAAAAGCGATCCTATTCTGCACCAGGCTATCGGTTTGCAGCCGAAACACCACTTCATCTCCGATAGCTGCCATGGGCTTGTTTACACGTACACGAGTACGCACTCCAGGGAGCACATGCTTGAGCTTGTGACAGAGCTATTATGCCAACTCAATCTGCAGCATCACATGTACTGCCATGTACTGCAATATGACGTGCTGTTCTGCACTTTCATCACGAGATGGCAGAACACCAATATCTCAGCTTTAAAGCGCAGCCATTTTAAAGAGCTCCCAAGAAAAGACTACACTATTGTGTGCACTTGTAGATCACTCCATCCCACGCGGTGCTCTGGATGTCCTCCTGATGTGGAAGGAGGTAGATCAACTGCGCGCATTAATTATTATTATTGATTCCTTATCCGTTGCTTACCGGTTCACGTCGTACAGCGTGTGCGAGGTATGGACAATGGTTTCCACCCCGGCTTTCCTCGCGAGGTTCACGATGGCAACATCTCTCTCCTTTCCAAAAGGTTCGGAGTCATATTCGAAGGTTAGACGGGTCACGTTCCATTCCTGGGCGGGGGGGTGGAGGGGAGAAACACCATTCAAAATCACACCGAGCTATAGCTCACAGGGAGTTATGTAGTTGTTTGATGAGGCCACATGATTCAACTACACCGATTGCACTATCGACGCCAACCTTCGATGGTAAACAGAACAGATGCTCAACAAGTGATAATTTTTGGGGGAGGAAAGAAAATTGGGTCAACCAGTTAAATAAGCCAATATGTTAAAAAATGTACAAAATGTTCAGTGTTTTGGTTTTACCTTAAATAATCTTGGAAACACATCAGTGGGTTGACCCCGCACAACAAAAAGCCTGGACTTTAGTTTTCTTAAACTGATGTCCAGATCCTCCAAACACTGAAGCAGAAACCTACAAAAAAAACCAACATAGTAAAGAGATTAGAAACTCCACGTAATAATAATAATCCTTGCGTATGATATAGCACCTGATCACGTCTACGAGACGTCTCAACGCGCTTCACAGAATATACTGTAAAGTGAGTTGACTGTGCATCTTCTGGGCGAAACGTGGCAGCCGATCATTATTATTTATTTATCACGTACATTGATCTAATTGAAGGTTGGCTCTCAACAGTAAATCTTGTGATGTGTCTCAAAGACGTGACAAAGCCCTATATCAAACGGAAGGATTATTATGTTGCCAATGCAACAGCATAATTTTCTAAAACATAGCCAGAATGATACACTTTTTAAACAAAAACGATAAGCTTTAACACAAAATAAGCTCCAAACGGTATGCCTTATATTGGAGTTTGTTTCCTAGTTCCGTAAAATGCTACTGAAGTTATGTGATGGTTATTCCATTCACCATCTCAAGGTTCCCTGATAACAATCGTCTATCATCCAATTCCAATATCCTAATATCACTAACAGCTCCTGGCGGTTGTTCTTTTTTGGCATTAATTCAATCTCCGAGCTGCTCTGAATATCGACAAAACACCAAAACAGTTGATTTCTGTTTCTTCTGACACTTAATTGATTATCAGAGGCTGATACACACTGCGGAAAACGTAGATGAAATTAATGGAATTGGCTGAGGCTCTGTGTTACGTGTGTGTTGCTCCCAGCAAATTCTATCAATGTCCAAAGCCTCGCCTGGAGTTGGTCCTGTCTGATGTTCGTTCAATCCATCATCGCATCTCAAACTGACTGATTAATCATCACCGGGGTAAATGTGACGCTCTCCCACCAGTGTTTTTAAACCGACAACAATTGATCGAGGGCGAAACTTGAGTGAAAAACAAAACAGAAGAGAACAGAACAAACCTCCATTTGTTGATGCGGACGTTTGAAGAGCCGGCAAACCAGGGGTCCAAAATATACACAGATCTGACGGTGTCCGCCCCGGACACAGCTGCCTGCAGAGCCGGGTTGTCATGTAGTCGCAATCCCTTCCGAAACCAGTGAACTGAATTCACCACCATTCTCCCTCTGTCTCTCTGTCTCTCTGTCCCCCTTTGTCTCCCTGTTTCTCTCTGTCCTCCCTTTGTGAAAGGCGCTATACAAATGTAATCTTGTTGTTGTTGTTGTCTATCCCCCTGTGTGGCTCTCTCTGTTTCTCTTGTCTTTCTCTCTTTCTCTCTCCCTCCCTCCGCCCTCTCGCTCCTTCTCTGTCTATCCCCCTTTGTCTCTCGCGCGCGCTCTCTCTCTCTCTCTCTCTCCGTCTCTTTTTCTCTGCCTTTCTCTCCTTCTCCCCGTCTTATCCTCCTTTATCTCGCTGTCTCTCTCCCTCGCCCTCCCTCCCTCCCTCCTTTTCCGTCTGTCTGTCTCCCTCTCTCTCTCTCTCTCTGGGAATCGAAACGATGCAATAATAAAACCAAAACACGACACAGAGTGGGGGTGGGGGGGAAAAAGTCTTGGGGTGAAAAGTCTTCTGCTGCTTTTTGCTGCTTGCAATTGCGAGCACCGCAACTCTGAATGGAGAGACGGACACAACTCGACTGAACCACCGCCTTGTCCTGTAACTGGTGATACACCGCCCGCCTGCAGCTCACGTTTCACCAATGAGTTCATGAGCTGATACACACCCCATCCTTCTCTCTCTCTCTCTCTCACACACACACACACGCACACGCACTTCATTCATTACAGACTGGTTTCAAATCCTTAAAGGTTACGAGCTCCGTATTATTTCTTTTTTTTAAACACACGTATTTTGATTGCAAATATTTTTTTTAAGGAATACGTGCTATAGTTACGCTGTATTTTTTTAACAGAGATATGAGCTTGGACTGTGATCACATCTTCGAGACGTCTCAGAGGCCTACGCCGGATTGATTTACCGTAAAGTGTAGTGACTGTGTATTTGTAAGCAGGCGGATTCCAACATTGTTCTTGTTTCTGAACGACAGCGTTGGGTTATTTCAGTCGATCTTGGTTCTAATTGGTTTCAGCCGATCTGCTTTTGTTATGTTTGATAGAGCTTTCACAAACTCTCCAACGAAATGTAAGAAAAATGATGTAAACCAACGTGTTTAGTTTTGTTCGTTTGCAGCTGCAGAAATGGAGGTTTCAGGAATTGGACCTCGGGTCAGAAGGCCTTCTGGTGGAGACATTATTGATAATAATCCCTGCATTTGATATAGCGCCTTATCACGTCATTGAGACGTCTCAAAGCACTTCACAGAATACACTGTAAAGTGAATTGACTGTATATTTTGTGGGCAAAACACAGCAGCCAATTGGACACAGCAGCGTCCCACAAACCGTTATGGTTTGAGTGACTTTAATAATAATCCCTCATCCTGTCAACATGTGGCAATGACTACCAGAGGTCACCGTATAAGCACCAGGAGCAGTGACCTTGGCTGGTTTCTACCTCCCTAACTCAAGGACTGTATATTTTGTAGGCGAATCCCATGCGAGCTCAGTTTCGCCCACAAATATACAGTCAATTCACTTTACAGTCTATTCTGTGAAGCGCTTTGAGACGTCGAGAAGACATGAAAAGCGCTACATCAAATGCAAGGATTATTATTATTATAAGTCACACAGAACAAAGATCGAACACGGGAACTGCTTTACGGCTCAGCAGAACCAAAGGGGACGGCAACTTCAATGTTGTTTTTAAAATAGTGGTTTTATTCAATAACATTCAAAACACATGGATATATTAAGGGGCTCGTGACTGCCACATCCAGTTACTACAGGAACATTTATTGACGCCTGACAAATGGGAAGTGGCCACCAGGAAACACGGGACGTTTGTAGTCAGTTTGTCAGTTTATAGGCAGTTTGTAGGTCCAGATGAAGACTGATCGATGCCTTGAATAAAACAATCAAAATCCTTCACCAGATGATACATGAGGGAAACTAGCGCTCCTGATTAACTGCGCGTCACTGTAAAGCCAGCAATAGATTACGGTTCCGATTCGGAGACTTTTCGGTCAGAGCTGCAAGTTGTGGAATCAAAGCGAATATTGCAAAATTGGAAGGCGAAAATAAATGCCAAAATACTATCCCTAAAACAAACACTCTCCCGATGGTAATACGGGAGTCAAAAGGGGGCGGATGTACCAGGTTCTTGCAGGTAACAGGTTTGGTTTTTTTTTTTGAATTCATCTTTTTCCAACACGGCTTGAGCTGTTTCGACCGCCCGACACATCGAACGCAAGCGCTGTAGAAGGGAATATTGTTGCAGGACAACGATCTCACGCTCCTCCGGATTCTCCTCCACCGCAAGCAGTAAACTCCTTTAGCTCAGCGAGTGTTGGCAATAAGCTCTTCAGGAGTATCAGAAGTTCCCGTGAGAGACACACGAGGCGTAAATTACTGGGACGTCTTATTTCGTACAGAATGATTGTTGTTTCGCCGATGATCTGTTCGACGGGTGCACTGCAGAATTGTTGGAAGGTGCAGCAGTGCTGCCTATTAGCAGCAGATGGTACTGCAGCAACATGTCGCCAAACCTCCTCATTATGGACGCAATTCACACTTGAATTCAAGTCAGTAGCAGTCGTTCTGCTGCTAACGTGCCTGACGGCAAAGGTCAGGCGTGCGCTCGCCGCGCACTCGCCCTTTATTTTAATCCGTGTGTGACTGCTTTTTGTTGGTTTCTGCACGTTTGCAAAGTTTAAAAAAAAAAACCACGCAGTTGCAATTCTGACATCCTTGGCACATCGTTTACCTGTATACTCTGGGTCTGCCTTGGAAAGTTGAAGGCATCATATTCCGAACAGGGTAAAAATTAATCCACTTTTTAAAATCAACATTTCCCACCCTACTTTTAAAATAAATCTGGTGATCTTTCCAGCGTTACCAATAACCTACGATAAAGTAATTTGTTTTGGTCTTTTGAAGAATGAAAACAATATTAAGCAAAGCTTTTAAATTCAGTGACACGATATGCATTAAAAACTCCCGGCTGTGAAATCGTAATCATGCGTCTCGAACCCACCGAGTCTCTTTAACCAACGAGTAAAAATAATTTATGGAATCAAAACGACACCAGGCAAAAATCATAAGATAACCCTTACATTATCTTTTCCCCCTGAAACTTTGAGTTTAACTACATCAGTACAAAATACAATGAGTACATTGAGCAATTGCAAGGGTTGCTTGCATATTGCGTTCCTTTTTTTTTTACACAAAAAAAACCCTAACACCCCCTGCACCCCCCCCCCCCCCACCCACACACACACACACACAATCACAGCTTTCAAAAGAGACACTTTTGGGGAGATTGGTAAATACGTGTGGCCCCAACCTCTACCTTCATTTTAGAAAATACCCAACACCAGGAGTGCATTTCACCAATTCTCCAGCCTTGGTATTACAGTAGTGTAAGGATAACTTACAGGAGATATGTTCTCTGCAGTTCATTAAAAGACGGAGTATTTAACAAAGTTATCCCAAGGAGTCGTCTCTCTCTCTCTCTCTCTCTCTTAGACTCCGGCCTCAGTTTTCTCATGATCTCTGGTCTGCGATTCCTCCTGCGCCTTCTTCATCTCAATGCCTTTTACCCAGGTGTAAGCAGAGGAGCCCCCGAGAACCATCATGTTGCTGGTCCACCACAAGGCGGTCTTCACCTCGTTGTAGTAGGAGACTGCGAGAACGGTTTGCGCACACGCCTTGGCTGTGCCCGAGATGTTGTGGGTGAGAGGGCTGGTGAACTTGATCTGGAACCCTGTGACGTATCCGATGGCAAACCCTAACACACCTCCCAAGGTCATCATGCCCCAGAAGTGCACGGAGTTTAGCTTGTCAAAGTAATACAGCACCTTTAACTCACCGAATATTGCGATTAATGGAATAAACAGTACGCAGGCGTTGACATTATTGTAGAAGGTTAACCTCCAAATACTGCCATCTACGGCGGGGAGGACTTTTTTGGTGTAGATGGCATTAAGAGACACACACAAACTGGCGAGTACACCAAATATTACTCCAGTCCATGACAGACTGCCCTCCACGCCCTCCTGGTCTATTCCGAGGAGAAAGCCACCTGCAAGAGGGAAATATCAAATGCAACGATTATTATGCCAGAAATTAAGAAAGAAATCAAAGAATACCCAAGCCGACACGGTTTTGTCATAGTTCTGGTATACGTTCAACTGTACGCAGTCACTACACTTTACAGCACATGCTGCAAATCGCTTTGAAACACTTTTGACTTGTTAAGGCTCTTAAAGGCAAGGATTATTAAATTATTTGGCAAACGGTTGGAATCGTTCATTACCAACTTCAACAAGTGATGAATATCAATAATAATCCTTACATTTGATACAGCACCTTTCATGTTGAGAGGACGTCTCAAAAGCGCTTCACAAGACAAGTGTCTGAAAGCCTGACCTTGACAATCTTAAAACAATGTTTTTCGACTGATTCAAATGTGGAAGGAGGCAGGCATTTATTTCAAGCTGTTCTACTTCAAGTGATTCCAGAACCAAGATCCAAAAATACACTCGGGAATGAGATTAGGATTCAATTAATAGATGCAATCCCAGGTAGACACAGCAGTCTCGCATCAGTGAGAGCTCTGGTTTTGTCAAACTCCCACTGTAGAAATAAGCCTCCAGAAAAGAAAAGAAATACTGATATGACCCATTTTTAGGATCCGAATAGAATCTCTGCCAAATATAAACACGTTAGCCCAGATAACACAATGACCTAGAGATCTGTCACTAGTCGATTGACTCGTGTCACCGAAAATAACAATAAACAACAATGATCCTTTGCCTTTTTTTTAAAAAAAAATTGAGGTCGGCAGCAACAGCTTTATCAGGGCAACCGCCTGCCAGCCAACCAACAGGAAAAACTCCCTTTTCTTCCCGAATACTGACATCGATCATTGATGTCCATCTGGCAGGACCTGATGTTTAACCATCCCCTCCCAAGGACACTATCTCTGCCATTCTCTGAGCTGATCTGCACCGACCAGATGATAAGGCCCTGTATCAAATGCAAGGATTATTATTATTATTATTATTATTGCCTTGTGTAATAAAAGGGGCAAAGCGTGTGGTCCATTATACCTAGGATAACTCCGCAGCACAAGATGGCTTTCCAGGAGGTCGTCTGCTTCAGGACAAAGTAGGACAGGAGGACATTGAAGACGGTTGTCAAGGAGCGACCCACGTTGTAGAATGCCACCCCCACGTACTTCAGGCACAGGTTGTTGAAGCTGATCATCCCGATGAAGACCACGGACAAGGGCAGGATCTCCCGGGAGACCTTCAGGTCGAACCGAAGCGGGGGGACATCCAAAACCCAGGGGCAGAGGGTCAGCAGGAGGTTCAGCAACAAGCAGATCAAGACGGTGGTGGAGCATTGGTAGAAAGTGACAAACAGGGGGGCGTCCAGCTTCAGGTCTGGGCTGCCCAACAGGTACTTGTTGAGGAAAACCATCGACACCGAGACGAGCCAATACAGAGACACCACCAGAGCGATTTTGATGGCTTTCACCAGGAAGGACTCGCCTTGGCCGGGGTCCCTCTGCTCCAGGCTAGACAGGGCCATCCTCAGGAGGTGCGAGCGCTTCAGAGGAGTCCTGTTCATGGTTTGCAAGAGATACGTTGGATTTTAAAGCGTAGCAAATAAATACACCCTCCACCTCCACACACAGACCTACACACACCTACACACACAGACACACACCTACACACACAGACACACACACAATCACCTCCACACACAGACACACACCTACACACACAGACACACACCTCCACACACAGACACACACCTCCACACACCTCCACACACAGACACACACCTCCACACACAGACACACACACAGACACACACCTCCACACACAGACACACACCTCCACACACAGACACACACCTCCACACACAGACACACACCTCCACACACAGACACACACACCTCCACACACCTACACACACAGACACACACAGACACACACCTCCACACACAGACACACACCTACACACACCTCCACACACAGACACAGACACAATCACCTACACACACAGACACACACACAATCACCTACACACACAGACACACACACAGACACCTACACACACAGACACCTACGCACACACAGACACACACCTACACACACACACACACACCTCCACACACAGTCACACACCTACACACACACAGTCGCCTCCACACAGAGCAAACAGCTGAGGGTGTGAGCGGGGGAGGACGGGGAGGGGGGGGGTGGTGGGGGGGTGTGTGGGGGGAAAGGAAGGAAGGAAGTGTTGCCGAGAGTTAAAAGCGACCACAAATAATAAAGGACCTGAGCCGAGCAGTGCCGGGACCGACGTGGCTGCGCTGCGCTCCGCTCGGGGGGGAGTGTGTATCCGGGGCCACGTTACGCCATCCGTTCCGTTCAATTAACCCACGTTTATAGCCCAATAAAAGCCCAAAGCCCAACAAACACTGCCCCCCCACCACACCCCACACCCATCACAACCCCCCACACCCCCCCCCACACCCATAACAACCTCTCGCCCAATATTAGACTCATGGTGGGGGGAGGGGATATTGATGGGGGGGGGAAAAACAACGCCACAAAAAAAAAACCGCCCAAAACGGGCGTGAAACCCGCCCAAAACGGGCGTGAAAGCCGCCCCGCCCCCCCGCCCCGAGTTGGCAACATTGTCGCGTTCCCTTCCATTGTGCGCGTGTGTCCGATGTTGCGGCGTCGCCGAGCAACCAACAGACACTGCGCGTCACCGCCCACTCCCCCCTCCCCTCCTCCTCAGCCCCGCCCACCCCCCTCCTCCTCAGCCCCGACCCCCCCTCCCCCTCCTCCTCAGCCCCGCCCACCCCCCTCCTCCTCCTCCTCAGCCCCGCCCACTCCACACACACACACCCATTCATGATTCTGAGCCGACAGCTGTGCTGACTGTAACAGGGAGGGGGGGGGGGGGTTCATCGTAGGATTGTCGCGAGGGTGTGGGGGTGTGTGTGTGGGGGGGAGTATGTTGGTGTGGGAGTGTGTGTGTGGGGGGGGGGAGTGTGTGTGTGTGGTGGGGGGTGTGTGTGTGGGGGGGGGGAGTGTGTGTGGGGGGGGAGTGTGTGTGTGTGGGGGAGTGTGTGTGTGTGGGGGGGGAGTGTGTGTGTGTGGGGGAGTGTGTGTGTGTGGGGGGGGGAGTGTGTGTGGGGGGGGAGTGTGTGTGTGTGGGGGAGTGTGTGTGTGTGGGGGGGAGTGTGTGTGTGTGGGGGAGTGTGTGTGTGTGGGGGGGGGGAGTGTGTGTGGGGGGGAGTGTGTGTGTGGGGGGAGTGTGTGTGTGTGGGGGAGTGTGTGTGTGTGGGGGAGTGTGTGTGTGTGGGGGGGGGAGAGTGTGTGTGTGGGGGGGAGTATGTTGGTGTGGGAGTGTGTGTGTGTGGGGTGGAGTGTGTGTGTGTGGGGGGGGAGTGTGTGCGTGTGAGGGGGGAGTGTGTGCGTGTGTGGTGGGGGGTGTGTGTGTGTGGGGGGGGAGTGTGTGTGGGGGGGGAGTGTGTGTGTGTGTGGGGGGGAGTGTGTGTGTGTGTGGTGGGGGGAGTGTGTGTGTGGGGGGGAGTGTGTGTGTGTGGTGGGGGTGGAGGTGTAAAGGAATTGATCGGAAAAAATTAAAAAAATAATAACAATAATTGATGGTGGAAACCTGAAATAAGACCAGAAGTCGCTCAGCAGCTCCGGCAGCATATCTTCCCTCTATCTCAGCTGTTAGTTGAACCAAGTCCACACCTCCTGAGTTACAAATATAAATAAAAGTTGACCTCATCGGTTAACCTTAAAAAATACATCTTCTGCTGGATAAGATCTGACAGCGAGAGCTGTCTTGCTAAACCGGTTGAGTTTAGATACCCAGAAGTCGCATCAAACTGCACAGTGCGCAGGTCAGACTGTACCTGGAGTGCTGCGGAGAGTTCTGGATAATTCAGCATACTATAAGGGAAGGGTGGGGGACGCGGGGGGTCTTAAAGGCAGTGCGGAGGAGAACAATGTAGATATGACCCCCAGTGTTAAGAGGAATGTGCCACTTACAATGGTAAACCTAGTGCTCTTCAGTCTCAAAAAGACGTATCACAGAGGAAGGTATATACTGTATAGGATTTTACAATGGGATTGAGAGAGTAAATCAAGAACAACGCTTTCGATCTTGCCAAATGACGTGCCTGCTCGGTAACTGACGACCTCACACAACAACAGTCCATTACACCTGGCTTCCTGGAAAGAATGAACTACTTGCTGGGAAGATACGATATTCTGATCCGACCCGGCTCAGCCGCTTTTCAGTTAATAGTGTGGGAAGAAAATCAATGTAAGTCCATACAGTGGATGTTTAGTCTATACACAAAAATATAATCCATCAAACTAAAATGCTGACCGAATCCAGTTTGCTTATTATTTCTTCACTGTGGGCCACATGAGAGTCGAGCTCCACTGTTGTGAAATGCTCAGAATGTATGTCAGTATGAAGGTTCGGGCGAGGATTCAGGCAACACATATAATCTGACCAAGGCGAATGTTGTTTGTGGGACGAGCACCAAATGCCATTAAGCATGGATAAATTATACATCTGTTCGATACAACTCCTATAACACCAACAATTGCCTCAGAGTGCTTCACAGGTAATCATTGTCAAGTGTAGTGACTTTACATCTGCAGGCAAAGGCAGCAGCCAATCTACTGGCAGCAAAGTCCAACAAACGAACAGTAATGAAGCAAATGACCAATGAACCAATGGTTCCGTGGGAGAAACTCCCTTCTCTAGTATCACTAGATTTTACAATGGGATTGAGTAATGGGATTGCCGCGTTTGCCCACAAATATACAGTCAATTCACTTTACAGTGTGTTCTGTGAAGCGCTTTGGGACGTCCTCCCGACGTGAAAAGCGCTATATCAAATGCAAGGATTATTATTATTAATATTATTATTATTATCACGGAATTGCTGACGTCGGTCTGAACTGAGAGACACACACACCTCTCCCTCACGTCTGGGAATGTTCTGGCTGTGGGGCTAGACAGGATCAAACTGCATGGCTTGCCTGTGAGGGCGACATCCTATCAGCTTAACCAGCCCTCAGGTGGAAAAATATGACAGCCCACATACTCAGCAGCACCATTTAGTTTCCTGCTCGGGGAGCTGTTGCCTCGAGACGGGATTCAATCATAAGTGCTCATTTTTATCGCAGTACTACGTCTACCAGAGCCACAAGCTCTGTCGCAGTGGCTCTTTGCAGTTATCTTGGAATCCTATGTATTGATCTTGGAATTAAACATTGATCGGCCTCTCGTCTCGGTGACAACTGTCTTTCAGAAGTACTTGGCGCTTTCCTTAAATGGTATTTAAATCAAAAGGGACACTGAACGATTCATGTCCTGTCTTTAACCCCTCTTTACCAGAATGCTTCTGTGATCCAGTAACTGCGTACACCGTTATTTTCAGCTTCTGATGTTTCTTTTTCTCTCTCTGTGAGGTTTGGTCGGGGAAATCAGTTGTTTTGTGTAAATGCACCTACAGTAATCATATAATAATAATCCTTGCATTTGATATGTAGCGCCTTATCAATTCATCAAGACATCTCAAAATGCTTTAACAGGATTTATTTTTCGTTTTATAATAATCTATGCAAGTTGTTGCTGCACAAGTGATTCCGTTTTGGAGCACTTGGGGGCACTCTGGTATATATTATATATGTATAATAATCCTCGCATTTGATATAGAGCTTTTCACATCTTCCAGACGTCTCAAAGCGCTTCACAGAGTATACTGTAAAGTGAATTGACTGTATATTTGTGGGCGAAATGCGGCAGCCAATTGCGCACAGCAGCGTCCCCACAAACAGTCGTGGATTGAGTGACCAAATTATTATTATTTTTTTTCTTCAGGCCCGGGAATCAAACCCAGGTCTCTCGCTCGCGAGGCGACTGCTCTAACTACTGGCATAATCACGACACTCGGGTTGTTTACAACAGAATCTCAAGAGCATTTGGTTTAATTATTCTTACTAATGAAAGATTATTTATTAATGTAGAAATAATATAGGGATGTAGACAGCAAGAGCAGGTTTTCTTTGATGCCAAGCATGAATATTTTGGGATGCTGGATGTCTGTCTTTTAGTTGAAACTGTTATTATACCACTTGCTACGATGCTACTGCTTGGAACTGTTACCAGCGCCTTGGGACAACCTCCCGACATGAAAGGTGCTATAATTTTGTATGGTATGGCGCAATGCACTTCTGTATTGTGTGCACTGTGCACTTCCACTAGATTTAGACAGTAAAAAGGTGCTAAAGGTGTGATAAACGATGTGCGTTATTTATGCCTGTGTTATTTTTTTTGCAAAGGTTAAAATACGTGCCTTGACATTTCCATTTCACGAAGGGCAACGATTTCCAACGGGGACAACTCTGCTCAGTTAGCGGATCGATGACACTAAAAAATGACTCGGTGTCTATCGTGGTGATGGCTGAGGAATCCATGACTCAGCTGTTTCACAGGCAAATTGTCCTGGATCTCATCTTTGCAATATTCATTTCAATATTCAAATCTCGGAATGTTTCCCCACCCCTCCCTCCCCCCCCCCCCCCCCACCCCACACACCCCCAATGATCATTTACGCAGACACGCACTGCAACAGGATGCTACAGGACCTTTTTTTAAACAAAAT